CTGGCAACTCGCCGGCTCCGTGACGGCGATCTTCCACCACGAACTGCGCTCCAGCGGCACGCCATCCAGCGCGATCAACATGTGCGCCGAACGCGGCTGCAGCATCGGCGAAGCCCAACAGTGCGTCGCGTCGTCCACCGCCTTCAAACCAGGCACCGTGTTCACCGTGAGGAAAGCGTGCACACGCAACGGCAGCTGCGGGTAAGCAAAGAGTGTCAGACTCGGCAACTCTCGCACCTCCACCCACGTCTCCGCTCCCCCCACTGCACTGTCCGTGCTCCGCAACCCGTCGCGACTCCGCAACCCGTCCTTGCTGCCTTCGCGCGTCCGCAACGTCGGCAGCCGCGACGCCGCACTGCTGTCCTTAGATCGCGAACGATGCAACAGCTGACCCGCACGCGCCACGCTCCCCGTGCTGTGCGTCCGCAACAGATTCGCCGCCGAATCGGTTCGAAGCCCGGTCGCGAATGAGTCCGTGCGGCGCAGACTCTGCAGGAAACGCACCACGGCACGACCCTCGGCCACCACACGGTGCAGGTCCGTAGCCAGACTGCGTCCCAGGGAGGCGCAGTGGTCCAGCACCGCCTTCAGTCCCTTCAGCATCGTTTCCACCATCGCCACCATCTGCCCACCACGATACACCGCCAGCGAAGGCAACAATCGCAGGTATTGCCGCAACAGCGCACAACACACCGTCGCAAACAACTCCGTAGACAGACTCGTCACCGGAATCCGGCACGGGAACGCCGCCTGCAGCGCCATGCCCTCCAGCAACATCGTCCCGCTCAGGCCCGCCAACGCCACCATTCTCGACACATTCCCGAGACTTGACCCGCGACTCGACACGCGACTCGGCACAGGACCCTCTGCGGCGCCCTCTGCGCCACCCTCTGTGGCGCCCTCCGCGCCACCCTGGCCGCAGTCGTCAAAAATGCGCCAGTCGCTACCGACCACACTGGGCACGGTGAGGGCGTCGGTGGGTTGGTCGACGTCGGGTCTGCGGTCCAGGTAAGAAAGTGTAGGTGCGCTAACCGGCAATTCGAGGTCCGTCTTAGCGCGTGAGGCGCAGTGTAGTTCAGCGTCGGCGGCCAACAGCGAGAGGTTCGGCACGGTCGCGGAAGCGCCGCGGCCCTGCGCGCCGGAGCAGAGCAGGCGCTGCAGCGGTACACGCGTCTCCGCCGTCTTCACCTGGGAACCGAATGCGGTCTGGAAGGGAATGGTCGAGGTCGCGCGCAGCCGCCGGAGCAGCATCTGCGGCAACTCAAACGGCAACAACGTGCTGTACACCTTCCGGAATAAACTGTTATGGTAGACGCGCACGTGTTCGTTCACGATCTTCTTAATGCCCGGGTCGACACACGCCTCACACGCCCTCAGCGCCGCAGACGCCGTCGCCTCGTGCAACTCCAACACCGCAGCCAACCACTGTCGCTGACAACCGTTCCGGCTTTCCAACTCCTCCGCAGACACCGGTCCCGGGTGGTAACGCTGCAACCAGTTCTTCACCTGGGTCGGCGCCGGTGGACACAACACAAACCTCTCCGCCGCCAACGCGTAAGCGCCACCAACCACCAACAACGCCGGACCCCCTGCGGATGGCGACGCCGACCGACGACTGGCTGCACTTGGGCTGGCCGCACTTGGACTGGCCGCAGTCGGACTGCCTGCACTTGCACTGGTTGCATTTGGATCGGCCGGGCTCCGCCTGGCCGCACTCGGACTGTATCCCGCACCGGGACCGGCTGCTGGGCTGTCGGCGGTGGGCGAGGTGCCTAGTGAGGTGCCGGGTGAGGTGCTGTCAGCGGGCCCTTGGGCTTGCACATTTATGAGCCCGAGCGCTTGGTTGGTCTGGCTGACGTCTCTGTCACAGCCCTGCACCAAATACGCCCCTCGGTACCCTCCCGTGCTCAGAGACTCCAGAAGAGAGCCAGCATTTCCCAAGCTAGTAATAGGTCTCGTGGACAACAAGCTTAAGTCGCCACAGGACGTAGAAGTGGTGTCTCTCTGGCAGTCGTACACTCGTCGCACCCAGACCGATACCGTGGGCGTCCCTCCAACGCGATGGAAATACCTGGAAACCAGTTCCGGTCGAATGAATGTGCCTAGAGAGCAAGTGTCTAGTGGGCAAGTTATATCATTTCCTTCTTCTTTCTCTCCCTGATCTGTTCCCTTCGCCGTTTGGCGGATTTCTCCTGTCATTCTCGGGTCAGCTGAATCGTCCTCGGCTGCGTCTTGGTGAAAGGTCTCGTTTGGCTGACTCATTTCACACATCAAAACAACGTCCGTGATGGCTTCGGGCCAGGGCATACGCAACTTCTCTCCGTCCCCGAGGCCGAGCCCGGCAGGTCGGCCTCCACCGGCCCGGTAGAGGAGAGACCGTTGGTGAACAACCTTTGCATTGTCGGAGCCCCAGGGCCACGTGGACAGAGCGGTTTCGACAGCAACACAAACATGCTCGTACAATGGCAGCAGTTCTCTGACGCTCGCACCCACCGTTTTGAAGAGCCTGGCAGCAACCTCAGCAGTGTTTTGCGAGCGGCTTAGGCAGATTTGTATCACGCAGCCTAAAAGTCTGGCTAGTACAAAGGCGTGTTTGATTTTTTCGGTGCACTTGCCAAGGTCTCGAGGATGACAGTTCAAGAGCCCATTTTTTGCAGGTCCGATCCCAAATTCTGGCAGCGCAAATGTTTCGCACACGTGTGTGCGCACCGTATCTGTTATCTGAAAGAGCACGCAAATGAGCGCCTCCTTTGTCTCTGGGGCCAGAACTGGCGCATTCATGAATCTGAGCAGGCCAGCACCTGGCCCGTTGATAGTAATGTTGTGACCCGTCACTAAAGCCCCTCCAGGCCCAGTAGGAGTGAGAAGCATGTCCTTGATGCTGTTTTGCCAAAGTCTCGAGAGCCAGTAGTCGTTCTTACCCCATGAGGGTTGTGCAATCGACTCGAGACTCGTGGTCAGCAAAGGTGCGTCGGTGGGTAGAAGAAACGTGCGATCGATGAGCGACAATGTCATTAAAACGCTTGAAATGAGGTCCTGCATAGCTCCTCTTGAGTGGCTGATATCCTTGGATACTTTGCTACAAAAGTTATGGAGATTGCTGGCGATATCTTCCATGGATTCAAAAAAGGATAGCATCGCATGAAAGGACAGCGCGGGATTAAACAAGACCCATAGTACCGATTCCTGTATCCGCTGAGTGTCCTTCAAGATCTTCATTTCCGCGGGGTCCACGACCTCGTCGTCGTCGAGATTTACGCTCCGCCTCAAATTTTCTGGTAGGTTGTCATTCGTCTGGTTCGCAACGCTCCCGTCCGTGGCTCCTGAAAGCAGATAGAACAAACAATCCGCTTTCAGCTCCAAATCCGTGAGCCACGTCGTCAGCAGCTCTGCCTTGGATAGGCTGCGCCCCCCTCCCATATCCGCAACACTTGGCGGAGGTAGTGAGCCTCTGCGTAGAGCGGACGAGACTGGCGTGGCAGGCACAACTTGTTCCAGCGCGATGTTCGGCAGTAAACGTGATACGGGTAATGGTGAGTTAGCGCCTCCAGCTGCGGAGCCGCCTCCCGTTGCGCTAGCGCCTCCCGTTGCGCTAGCGCCTCCCGTTGCGCTAGCGCCTCCCGTTGTGCTAGCGCCTCCCGTTGCGCCAGCGCCTCCCGTTGCGCTAGGTACGGAGTTACCACCTCCGGCTACACTTCCCACGAGTCCAGGCGTTCTCCCGCCTACACTGTCGGGTCCAGTGGCCGCCGTAGAGATCGGTTCTTGGTGCGGGCCGGGCGCGAGAGCCCCAGATTGTCTGGCGGCGGCAGACATGTAGCGGCAGACCTGCGTTCCGATGTCCCGAATCATATATTGTCTTACATTTCTGGAGAGGTTCAGCTGCGACCCCAGCTCGAAGAGGACGAGAGCTGAGCACACTCGGTCGCTGGTTACTTCCAGCTGCATGGAATGGTCGACCGAAAGCCCCACTGTTCGGACCAACAAATTGAAGTGCCGCTTCAAGCTGCTTTTCCTTAGCAAGTCAGTCGAACTCAAGCTCGCCCAGTAAGCGGGACACGCCTCACTGTCCCCGCCAATGGCCTCGCGAATATACTGTGCCGTGTACCCCACATCATAACTGTGCTCCTGGTGTGTACGCAGCAACACCTCCAAATTCTCATGCTGCACACGGTTCTTCAGTATGTCCAATAATCCACTGAAGGTCTCTTGTGCCGTCCATCGGCCTGCCTTGCCCATATTTTTAACAAAAACTCCCACTACTCCCACATCCCCACATACACCAACTACGTATTTATAGCCGCCCGACGACACACCTTTAGGCATCACGCCATTTTAGCGATTATTTCAAGTCAGTTTGAGTAGAATTAAAACCCAGCAGCGTAGAGCCGCACATCTTGGACCCAGATAGACACAGTTGAAACCTGGACCTGGATCCACGCACACGTGCTTTACGCACATACCCTTTGGTGCATACTTTAGTGGAGCTAATTGCCCTCCCGGTTACTAAATTGTCTGGCTCAAAGTAATTATGAGTTGACGGGTCTCGAGTGAGACCTACGTTTCTTTGTTTCTCTCGTTTCTTTTGGGCGAAAGGGTAACTATCTTTTAGAGGTTATTTAGACCTTCTCGCCACGGATCCTCCGGGCGAGACCAATATCCTTGGGCATGATGGTGACTCTCTTGGCGTGGATGGCGCAGAGGTTGGTGTCTTCGAAGAGACCGACGAGGTAAGCCTCAGAGGCCTCTTGGAGAGCCAAGACGGCGGAGGACTGGAAGCGCAATTCCGACTTGTATTCTGCGGCAATTTCCTTGACCAGACGCTGGAAAGGCAGCTTGCGGATGAGAAGTTCGGTAGACTTCTGGTACTTGCGGATTTCACGGAGAGCAACAACGCCGGGCTTGAAGCGACGAGGCTTCTTGGAGGCGGCGACGGTGCCGGAAACAGCTTTCCTGGCAGCCTTGGTTGACAAGGACTTGCTGGAGCGGGGCGCCTTGTTGGCAGAAACAGTCGACTTGCGAGCCACACGGTTAGTCTTGGACATTGGTAGATGAGAAAGTAAACCTTAAATTTATTAAATCTTGGAAAACACGACCGTAGGGGAGGACGCGTCCGCGCGTCTCGAATAAAAGCCCGCTTTTCCGAGCAGATTTAAACTTACAGGAAAAAGTACAACCAAAGCAATGGCAGCTGACAAGAAGATAGCCACGAAGAAGGTTGCTTCGAAGAAGGTGGCTTCCAAGAAGGTGGCCACTGGCGGCGAGAGGAAGAGGAAGCATGTTACTGGCAAATACGTGACCTACATTAACAAGTTGCTCAAGAACGTCCACACCGACCTCACGATCACGTCCAAAGCGATGAGCATTGTACACAGCTTCGTACTCGACAACTTCTCGCGAATCTGCGATGAAGCCAGCAACCTCTGCAAGCGCACCAAGACTAAAACACTTGGGGCTCGCGAAATCCAAACCGCCGTCCGTCTTATCCTCCCCGGAGAGCTGTCCAAGCACGCTACCAACGAGGGGGCCAAGGCCGTCACCCACTACGGAAACGCTGCCTAGCCATGTTTTAGATAGATATACAAAATCAAGAACGAATGACACAAAGAGCTTCACTCGAAGCCTGAACTAAAGAATATTCAATCATTCACCCCACCCTGTAATTGGTCCTCCGTCTAGATTGGGTATGTATAAGGGCACCGTGACCATAACCAGACATCTGCAGACTGACTGCATTTCTGCACAAATGGGTTGGCTAGATTTCCTTTACATCCCGAGACTTCCCAAACGGCCGGCCCAGTCAGACGGAGAATTCCCGTCATATAATAGCTGCACCCAGGGGCACCACATTATGGATATTTCCACCCGCCACCTGGAATCCACGTTCGGGGCTCGGCCGAAGCGGGGCTCGGCAACTCCGTCTGAAAGCTCCGCTGCGAACGAGCCGGTCGACACCCAGGTCGGCGAAGAACAAGCTCGAGCTGCCATCGGTGCGAGACGGGCAAATATCCGGCGAAAAACGCGTGCGGTCATTCTGCCCAAATTCTCAGGCTCTCTGGAAAACTACCGGCCTCCACCCGCCCACAAAAATGAATCCCCTCCAGTCAATCCACTTGCTTCCAACCAGCTCGCTTCGAACCAACTTGCTTCCAGCCAACTCGGCTCTAGCCAACTTGCTTCCAGTCAGCCCGTTTCCAGTCAACTTGCTTCTGAGTATGTCTCCGAAGTCTTCACTTCCAACCGAACGTCGGAACACCAAGAGTCCAACCAGCCGACCTCGACTCTCGCATCTAGTATGGCACAACGATCCGCAACGTCTGGCGTTGGTACTTCCGACGTTGGAACGTCTCCCACCCCGTCCGGTTATAACACGTCCCGGCACAGCTCGGAAGAAGAGCGGAGTTCGGTAGGCGATCCTTTTTCCGACATTCCTGCGATCAAAACAAACCTGCACTCTGACGCGGAAGGACACCATGAAACCAAAGCGGTGTACAGACCAGCGCCTTTATCACGAGTGGCTCCGCCACCAAACCTGAAGCCGTCAACGAGATCCTTTGGCAGAGTCGCAACATCGAACAGTCCGTCGAAACAATTTGCCACGGGCCAAACTGGGAGCGCAGCAGCAGAGTCGGAAAGCAGCCCTTCCTCTGAGACTTCATCGTCAGAGATGCATGAGGACACTGAGTCCGAGTCCGTGGTAAGCGCAAGAGCGAAGAAGAAGAAAGGCCTAATGAAGAAACTCAAATTCAAAATCCCCTTCACCAAGTCCTCGCTGTCGAAAAAGAACTCTGTTCTCACCATGGGGTCTGGATCACTGCCTGCCTCTCCACACAGCTCCGTTGCTTCTCCTCATACCCCCGTTTCGGCAAACCCTAAATCGTCCTTTCCATCTTCTCCGCAACAACCTGACGCATCCTCTTTCCCAACTGGCTCCATCGCCAGTCGAGCTGCAGCGTTCGGCCAACCCATCAAGACGTCCAATTTGCCAAACAACAAAGATCTGACTGGTAAAGAACCACAGGGACGTAATGCAACCGAGGGAAGGAACAAAGCCGAGACACACACCAGCAAAGGCATTCAGGGTCACCTCAAAGGAATCCTATCATCCAACAAAACCCACGGACATCTCAAAGAGGACACCGGCAGGTCAACTGACGGGCATTCCAAGGGGGAAACTACCAAATCCAAACAAGAACCAGCTACAAGAATCTCCTCGCACGAGCCGGATGAGTCGGATGAAACTCTGGTCGGCTACGCTCCTTCTGTAACACAATCTATTGCTAAGAAGCACGTCGACATGGTTGTCCAATACGAAGAGGAGCTCCGAGAGCTAAAAAGCCAACTAGCTCCCTTGGAGCGTCACAATATGGAAGGAGATGCTCAAATCGAGCAATTAAAAGCTCTAATAAATGAAAAAGAAGAATATAGCGCGCGCGTGCACACAGATTTTCTGGAGGCGCAGCGAGATTTGCTGAGACTTCAGGATGAAAACACCCAGTTGCAAAGCGCGTTAAAGCAGCAGGAACTCCTACTGGCATCATTCAAGCCGGCTGAGGGCTTGGAAGCGCAATTAAATGAGGCCCGCAGCGAGTTGGAGCAGCTGCGTCTCCGACCTCCTCATCGCCATGATTTAAGCGAGTGTCCGGATTGCTACCAACTGTCGGAGAATCAGCGGGTTGCCGCCGCGCGAGAGCTAGAGCAGCAGAAAGAGCTTGTTCAGCAAAAGAAGCAAGACTACGATGCTTTGCAAAGCCAAGTGCAGAATCTGCGCAGGGAGTGTTCTCAGAAGCAAAGCCAAATAACGAGGATGGCGCATGACCTCGACAGCTTGATGTCCATACAAGCAGAAGCCAAGGCTCCTCCTGTGGCTAAGTTCAGCCGAGGCGCACAAACCGAGCCGACCTCAAAGGGAACCCCAAAGGGTTCTTCCCCCAGGGGATCTGGTTCTCGCAAAGGTAGAATTTTGGCGGAGCTGAATGACTCTTACCGCAAAAATCCTCTGACGGATGAACTCCGGTTATGTCTCGAGCACCAGGAGACTATGAAAGCGACCAAGGAGGCCGCATTGCAGATTGCGGCCGCTGCGCAGAAGCTACAGGCCCTTACGGGCTCCAAATCACCTCTTCCTCCGGATGCGGCTGCATACACTACGGTAGGCCCCAAGGGTCCGAGCAACAGCAACTCACCTCGTGGTTCGACGTCAGCAGATCCCGTCATTGCCACGGTGCCCAATGCTCCAGCTGCTTCTCCCGCAGCGGTTTCGCCCGCGGCCGTGGTCACGGGTCGGCCCGTTGGAAGCGGCCATACTCACATGGCCGTGGAAGCCCAACTGTTTCTTCCTGATAGTTCGTTGTTCGAGCCGACCAGCCATGACCGGCAGTGGCACTACGGTTCTAGCTCTATGCTGGTGAACCATACGGCTACGCAGCGCGGGTGGTCGTACCGGTGGGCCAACGGACGGTACGTGCTTGAGCGGTTGGTTCAGTAGGGGGGAATAAAAATTTTGAGGTCCCCCATGTTGAGTACGGGCACGACGTGGTTGGTGTGCGTGCTGCCGTTGGCTCCGTTAGCATATTTGCTGTTCGGTTGGCTATTGTTGGTGGTCGGAGGCGTCAAGCAGAACGAGTCTGCGGTTCGGAGGGGGGTGCCAGGTGATGTTGAAGACAGCTTGGATAGTCCCTTGATTGCCTCGGCAGAAGACGACGACGATCTGTCCCCGGCTTCCTCGGCGGGAGAGGGGGTCCGTGTGCGCGACGGGTTCCGGTCTTTCGGGAAGGTGGCTGCTGTGGAGAAGACGCCGTTTGCGATTTGGCGACAAGCGATGGCTGGGTTCATGGTACTGGTATCCTTGTCGTCGGCGGTGGCGTTACTGATCGGTAGCGAGAAGTACGAGAGCCAGCCGATGAAGGATACGTTCGGTTTGTTTTCAGTCGCCGCTTCGGGACTGGGGGCCATAGAGTTTTACAGACGTGAGTGCAACCGGTCTGCCTACACGGTGGAGATGCGTGGAGGTCGGCGAGTAGCACGGGAATGGATAATGCTGGGGTTTTGGTTGCTGATGCTGGCGTGTTTATTGGTTCATATGGCGGTCGTGGCGAAGAACTTCGACAAGTCGATAAACCCGACTTTGACAGTCTTTGAATTGATCGTGGACAGTGTGTGTATATTGACCTCTCTCGTGGCGCTATATTTGTTTGTGCGCGAGAACCGGGTTCGCGAGGATTTGCGCAGCGCCCTCAACGACAGTTTCGACGACGACCTTCGCTACGTAGCGCCTCCGACGAAGAAGCCTCAGTGTCCGCAGGCCACAGCAAACCTCTTTTCCACATTGACCTTTACGTGGCTGGAAAGGCTGATACGGCAGGGCCGCAAGAACAAGCTCCTACAAGACGATATCTACCGGCTGCGGGACGACGAGCGAGGTTATGTTGTTTTCTCAAGATTCGACCATCTTTGGAAGCGGCATATCAACCTTCGTCATCGCACTGAGCGCGGTGGCTCCCGTCAAGAGGGCGGCGGTGGCGCCGGCCAAGAGGGCGGCGGCGGCGGCGGTACCCCTGAGCGAGACAATGACTCGACACAGCGAGTTGGATCGGCCGAGCGAGTTGGATCGGCCGAGAGCGTGGGAAGTAGTGTGTCGTTGGATGACGGTACGGAGATAGCGCGAGTAGCTGCTGGACAGAACATTTGGAAGTTTGCTCACGTTGTAGCACGTTTTCTGATGCCGAGTTTCTTCTTTGCTGCTTTACTGAAGTTGGCGAACGATTCGTTGAATTTGCTGGACGTACAGATCTTGAATTTGGTGGTGGAGTACATGTCAAGTGAGGATAGCAAGTCGCGGGGTTTGTTCCTGGTGCTGTTGTTGGCGATTGATGCGGTATCGGAGACGATGATTCTGCACCAGTACTTCAACATTATGATGGTTTGTGGTGTGCGTATCAGATCGGCGATCGGTACGGCTGTGTATGTGAAAGCGTTGAAGGTGGATTCGAGCAAGTTGTCGGTGGCTGAATCACAGGAGTTTACATCTGGTAAGACTATAAACTTGATGTCAACGGATGCCCAGCGTATGGGCGACTTGATGGGTTACGTTCAGGTATTATGGTTCGCTCCGTATCAGATCGTGATTATTGCGGTGATGTTGTACAAGCAGCTGGGTCCATCGTCCTTCGGTGGCATTGCGGTCATGGCGCTGTCTATCCCCTTCACTTCTTTGATCACCAGACGCACGAAAAAGCTGCAGAAGCAAGTCATGGCTCTCAAAGATGAAAGACTTAGAGCTACGAACGAAACCATCCAGGGAATCCGCGCAGTGAAGGTCTATGCATGGGAAGACCCCATGAGAGAGCTGATTCACAGCATCCGGACTAAGGAACTTACTCAACTTATGTATACCCAGATCAACATGTTGTGTGCCAGGTTTTTCGTTTCCGCCATTCCGGTCCTGGTAGCCATTGTCAGTTTCAGTATCTTCTCCGCGGCTCTACACCATGAACTGACTCCCGCAATTGCATTCACCTCGCTGGCTCTGTTCGACCGATTACGGTTCCCTCTATTCATGCTACCGAATGTCATCATGTCCCTGGCGGAGACAATAGTGACAATGCGAAGACTGCAAAAGTTCTTTGCGCTCCCCGAGCTCACTAAGCGACCTGCTCTGCCACTGGATCCGGATACACAAGTGGGCGTATCCTGCGTGAACTTGTCGGTAGCATTCGACCGGATCAAGACTCAAAAGAGCAATGATGGCAAAACTGGCGAGAGTGAGCTTGGTAAGGGTGATGGCAGGGTGGCTGCGAGTGGTATGAAAGCCGGTAGCTTCTCGGACGGCAAATTGTTCATCAACTCTCGCTCCATTAGTAGCAGTGGTGGAAGCATTGGTAGTTCTGATGAGGACCCCGACGTCCCAGGTGTGCAAAAGACAATATTGTTCCGCCACCTGAATATGGAGGTGTGCATGGGCGAGATGGTAGCACTGGTGGGCCGTACTGGATGTGGTAAATCGATATTATTCCAGGCAATCCTTTCTGAGTTAGAATGTACGGATGGAAGTGTAAGTCTCCATGGTAATGTAGCCTTATGTACTCAAACCGCGTGGATCCGTTCGGGAAGTGTTCGCGAAAACATTTTAGTTGGGCGTCCTTACCATGCGGGATGGTATCAGAAGGTTGTAAAAGCGTGTGCGCTCGAATCGGATTTTGCGATTTTGACCGACGGAGACTTGACAGAAATTGGAGAAAGAGGAGTCAATTTGTCGGGTGGTCAGAAGCAACGAATTGCGCTAGCCAGAGCGGTGTACTTTGATGCGGATGTGTACTTGCTTGATGACATATTGAGTGCGGTCGATACGCATGTTGCAGCACATATCTATAGACACGTTATTCGTGGTGTGCTCAAGGATAAGGCTATCATTCTCGCCACGCATCGATTCGAATGCTTGGGAGCAGCCTCAAAAATCGTCATGCTTAGACCAGGACTGGATCCTCTGGAGTTCCCTAACCTTGCAGAAGCCAGTATGCACCCCGTTTTCAAGGCTCTCGCAGACGAAGAAACTCCTGCGACGCAGGATGCTCAAGAGGCTGACAACGACGCCGCCACCCCTGCCAGACGTGCTGGGGAACGTAGCAACAGCATTTTACACGGTTCTATTTCAGCCCGTTCCGTCTCTCATTCTCCATCTCGTTCGCCGTCCGGAATGCTAGAAGGTTTGACTGAAGAGGCGCTGCGAACTCCGCGAACTTCCAATTCGATTTTGGCCGCTTCAATACGCGAGTCTTCGGTCTCCGTGGAGTTGAGTTCCTTACAGGTAGAAGAGCTGGAACCAAATCTAAAGGAGGACGCTAGGGAGTCGGTCAAGCCGAAGACGTTGGTGGAGCAGGAGATGATGAAGGAGGGTAAGGTGGGTCGTGAGGTGTACTTGGCGTACATGCGTGCAGGCGGTGGCTACTGGGCGTTTTGTACGATGTGCTTGTTGATAGCCTTGTCATACACGGCCTCAGTGGGGTGCAACTTTTGGTTGTCCCACTGGTCAGACGAAGTGGCGACAGTACCGCTCCGTACAGGTCTTGGAGCATACGGAGGACTGCAAGCCGGATACCTGTTGTTTACCATTTGCGGGAACATGATGGTGGTGTACGTTTCCCAGACCGCCGCGCGTGTGTTCCACGACCGGATGTTGTACCGCGTCTTGCACGCTACCGTTCACTTCTTCGAGACGAATCCGATTGGGCGGTTGAGCAATAAGTTTTCGAAGGACCTGTACACCATTGACGAGTCCCTAGCCATGACTATGTACTCCTTCTTGGTGATGGCGGCACAAGTAGCTGGTGTAATTGTGGCGATCGCCATCGTAATACCGGTCATGATTGCAGTGATTGTGCCAACGCTGGGTGTGTACGTATTGATCGAGCGGTTGTACGTGTCGGTGGCGCGGCAGTTCAAGCGCATCGACAGCGTCTCGCGCTCTCCCGTGTTCACTCACTTTGCGGAAAGCCTCGATGGTGCGAAGACCATTCGAGCGATGCGCGCGACCAGCCAATTTTTGGGCATCCACCTCAAATGGCTGGACGAGAACCTCAGCGCCGCCTATGTCTACGTAGCCAGCAACCGCTGGCTAGCGGTCCGACTCGAGAGCCTTGGCACCCTGATCGTGGTCTGCGTGGGTCTGTTTTGTGTGTTGCTGCGCTCCCAACTCAGTGGCGGCAAGGCCGGCTTAGCGCTCAGTTACGCCATCAACGTGACGGGCGCCTTGAATTGGCTAGTGCGGATGTCCGGTGACCGTGAGACGGACATCATTGCCGTCGAACGCGTGCTAGAGTACGACGATGACGAAGCCTGTCCACAGGAAGACTATGGCTCCAAAACGTTAGAAAACCCGAGGGGCTCCCTCAGGCGGCGTCTGAGCCGTCGGAAAGGCAGCAGTGTGCGCGGTGGAAGCAGTGTGCGAAGCACCTCTTTTATTGAGCCGGACCTGGCGTTGGCTGACCTCGACCCGGCTTATTTGGGCATGGTAGAGTTCAAGTCGGTCGCGCTTCGGTACCGTCCGGAGCTGCCATTTGCACTGAAGAACGTGAGCTTCAGCATTGCGCGCGGCGAGAAGGTGGGTATTGTTGGTCGTACGGGGGCGGGCAAGAGTTCTTTGTTAGTATGTCTGTTGCGTATGGTCGAGATCACTCAGGGCGAAATTTTTGTCCACGGCCGGAACATTCTGGACTATCCAGTGGACGGACTGCGGAATGAGCTATCTATTATTCCCCAAGACCCTGTCATATTCACAGGCACCATTCGCTCCAATCTCGACCCCTTCAACAGAGCCGATGACCAGACCCTCTGGGAGGTTTTGGAGAAAGCGTGCCTCAGATCCTTCGTGGAAAGCTTACCCGACGGACTCGACTATCACGTCACAGAAAACGGCCAGAACATTTCTGTGGGACAGAAACAACTCCTCTGCCTTGCGAGAGTCCTAATCAAGAAGGCCCAGATACTCCTGCTCGATGAAGCCACCAGTGCGGTCGACCCGCAAACGGACGCTCTTATTCAGCAGTGTTTAAGGACAGAGTTTAAGGACACTACGGTCCTTACCATCGCTCACCGACTCAAGACCGTAGTCGACTACGACCGCATCATTGTCATGGCCGACGGAGACATCTTCGAACAAGGAAACCCGCAACAACTTCTCGACGACCCCTCCTCCCAATTCCACGACATGTACTACACAACAGACTAACACAGACACCCAGTGAAAAGACATCAGAAAAAGGCGCCGGAAGAATAACATCGAAGAAGACGTCAGCAGCCTGGACCAGCGCAGCCTTTTTGTAACAACACACACTGTTTCCCGACCAGACAGCCGTCGGGCGCAAACACAACCATGCAAGGAACAGATACTGGGATCCCCCGAGTTCGAGTCCCGCTGCGCCCGGCTCACCCGCAGAAGGAAAGGATTTTGTCTGAAATAAAAAAAACGAAATAATTATTGCAACATGGAGTGGAGTGCGTTTGAGATTCCGACAACCCTCTCTGCGAATGATGCCGAGACTGTTTATTACGGTTTGAGTTTCTTGAGAAGCACGAGTGTTCCTGTTCCTGATGGAGCGACTGACTTGCTTGACGCACTCCGGCTCTTAGAACCGACACACTGGGCGGTGGCGGTGGCAGGTCCGATGATAAAGATCCTGGCTCCTGTGGTAACGCCACCACGTCGCAAGACGGATCAGGCCCACGAAAAGTCGAACAAAGCATCAGCAGAGGCATTCGAATACGATGGAGGCG